TATATATATATATATATATATATATACATATACATACATATACATATACATGTATTGTTAAATAACTTCTTCAGGAAATGTAAATCTAGCTACACTAAGGTGAATAAACATTTATATACAACTGTTTTGTTTTTTTCCAACAGCAAAAAAACCGGCCCTGCAACTCCATTTCTCTCATGCTCATTATCTCACTGCTTTGCGGTAATCTAAGAGGTATTCAGGCTTTAAGTGATTTAAAGCTTCTCCCCATGACCTGCACAAACCAGATTGTACACAATGCAGTTTCAGTGAAACTGTTTCTTGAGATAAAGAATGCACATAAAACAGTGGCTGTTACAGTACAAAATAGTCAGAGTACTTACAGATCACAGGTTCAGCAGTTATATGTCCCTCAGCATAGTGTGGAAGTAGCACCAGTTTGGGAATGAGGAAGCTGTTATAGATCCAGACAAAAAATACCATACTCATGCAGAACCAGCCCATGGGATCCACCACAAAATGCAGTCGCATCTTCATACTTCAAGATAATGTATAGTCCAGGACAGCTGAATTAGATTCTAATCACAGACAGAATGCAGAGTTTTAATAAAACAGCTAGGTTGCCAAATAGCTTTTTAAGCTAGTATTGAGTTTAAACTGAGTCTGAGAATCCCCTAAAATGTATGTATATATATATATATATATTGAATGTTGAATAATATAATATGTTGAAGTCAGAATTATTAGCCCCCTTTGAATTTTTTCTTCTTTTTTAAATATTTCTCAAATGATGTTTAAATGAGCAAGGAAATTTTCACAGTATGTCTGATAATATTTTTCTTCTGGAGAATGTCTTATTTTGGCTAGAATAAAAGCTGTTTAAAATTTTCAAAAACCATTTTAGAGACAAAATTATTAGCCCCTTTAAGCTATATTTTTTCTCGATAGTCTACAGAACAAACCATCATTATACAATAACTTGCTTAATCACCCTAACCTAAAAACCCTAAATGTGTTTTTCAACACATTTCTAAACATAATAGTTTTAATAACTAATTTCTAATAACTGATTTATTTTATTTTTGCCATGATGACAGTAAATTATATTTTACTAGATATTTTTCAAGATTCTATAAAGCTTAAAGTAAATTTTAAAGGTTAAACTAAATTAATTAGGTTAACTAGGCAGGTTAGGGTAATTAGGCAAGTTATAGTATAATGGTGGTTTGTTCTGTAGACAATCTGAAAAAAGTAGGTTAAAGGGGCTAATAATTTTGACCTTAAAATGCCTTTAAAAGAATAAAAAAACGATTTTCTTTTAGCGAGAAACAAAACGATTAGGACTTTCTCCAGAAGAAAAAAATATCAGTCAAACTGTGAAAATTTCCTTGCTCTGTTAAACATTATTTGGGAAATATTTAAAAAAGCAAAGGGGGGTCTAATAATTCTGACTTCAACTGTATATATAAAGAAAATCTGTTTCAAATGACTGATTACAAACATGTAAAATCAGATCAGAAGGCTTTAATCCTACTCCTGTGGTCCCAGTCAGTGCCCTTCAGTTTATTTTCGAGCCTGCTTCAGAACACTTGCAGTTGTATTTAAAGCATGGCTCGCTCACACTGTGATAAATTATAATGAATCTACATGATCGTAGCTTGTCGAACAGCACAAACATGATTTTCATGTAACACTGTAGGATCTCTGACTGAAGAAAATCAAAAACATCTGGATATTGATGTCATTGATTCGAAGTATTCCATAACCAATGATCTCAAATAATAACTCACAGTAATAATAAACAATTATCAGGTTCTAAATCTTAAAACCTAAAACTATTGTTCGTAATGGACTTTAAGCTGCTGTCGATCAACAAGTCTAACCAACGATCAACGAACACAAATTTTAGCCTAGGATTAAAGGTATCTTTAAGATTTTCCAAATTGGCCTAAATTAGGGCATAAAAATTTGGTCTGTAATGTAGCATAAAATTCTGCATGATAGTTGGTCCATAGCATCAGGGTTGAGGACAAAAAGCATAGACTCATCATTTCTGAGTAGAAACCAAACACTAACTTCTCCAAAATGGTTATCTTGGCCATATTGAAAAATATATAAAATCATGTGTAAGCATGTATTCAGCATGTTACTGTACTGTGTTCTGATTGTTATTTAGCTTGTAAATTATCATACAGAATGTATATAGCCTATAGATAGAGTTTAAATTGCATGTTAAGTTTTACCTTAAAAATGCACAGCATCATTAATCTAAATGGGATGGTGAGTGGGTGGAGGTTTAACAGAGAGAATGCTTTCACTCTTTTTTTCGAGCCTTTGTCTTGCCTATAACTACTACATGAAGTAAGTTGATGAATTAAGCTTAACATGGATCAGTAAAGTAACTTTACCTCTTTTTTGTTGTCACTCCACAGAAATAAAAAACATCACAGAAGCCCTAGCCATGACAACCTGAAAACACATATCAAACATTGGACAGATGATTTATCCCAACCCTATTTTAAACAGAATGTGTATCAATAAAACGTTTTATTGAAAAATCCTGTTTCGTCTGAAAACAAAAACTCTTAAAACAAGCATGCTCACAAAGTTACCTAGCTCAACAATAACATAACGTGATGAATGAAGTAACATGAGAAACATCTATTGGACTACTGGCTTTGTTCATGCATACGCCTATGACGATGATAAACTCATATTGTGAAATATTCCAGTAATATGGTAAAAGCAAGGGGGAAAGAACAATTAAAACATAATACTTTTGTAATTTCTGCAAAATATAATTTCTCTGTATTTTCATCCTCACCAATTTGCAAACATTGAGGTAAAGTATGTTTTATATTAACACATTTGTTCGTTTGTAAACAGTGACTTGTGTTACAATCACTACATTGTTTATTATGCAACTGTGAATACTTGGTCTGAAATCGCATGTAAGAATGATAAACATATTTGAATTTACTAAACAATTCGTTCTATGATAGTCATGGCTGCTAATATGATTTCCCTATTTAGAATTTGCAATGAATACTTTTCTGAAATTATAATAAGGTGAAAGTCTGAATGAATAAAACCAACTTTACCTCAATAATATATTTATGTTGTGGGAACAACTACAGTTTAAGACAAAATAAGTTCACTTTATTTAAAAAATGCCGTTTAATAAAATAAAACAAGCCAATAAGTTTAACTTCAAGTTAAATTATTTTCCCTTTAAGTCTAATAATTCAGTGTAACCAATAAACAAGCAGGTGCCCATGAGTGATGCACAGAACAGAAGGATGATACACAGCTAAAAAAAGATAGCAAACATCTACGAAACGAAAACAACAACTGAATACTTTACGCAAAATTAAAATAATATTTACCGATTATCTCACACTTTGAGGTTTCGGTTAGGTGTCGAGAGGTTGGCGCTGGTTTGTGAGAATATGCCTTTGAGAAATCAGCTCTTCCTGAAATGGGCTGTGATTGTACGGAAGCCGCAAAGTACAAAACGCTCTGACTGGGCAGCGCCCCATTGAGTGCATTGTGTCTGAGATATACAGTCTCACCTGGCAAATGATCTTAAGCTTTTAAATTAAGATCTATTGTTCTCACAGTTCTATTACATTTTTCTTTAAAATGTTATATTTATTTTCTTTAAATGTCAGGGGTATAAGACAATCTATAAAAAGAAAAGCTTTATTTTTATTTGCGAAACAGTTAAAGCCTGATTTTTGTTTCTTCCAAGAATCCCACTCTACTGTTAATGACATAAAGTTTTGGAGATCTCAGTGGGGTAATGACCTTTGGTTTTCTCATGGAACTGAACGCTCTGCAGGAGTTACTACTCTAAAAAATGCATTTAAAGGGAATATTTTGCATTCGGACAGTGATTCAAATGGACATTTTTTGTGTAACATCATTGATATTGACTCAAGGATTGTTATCATTGCCAATATATATGGGTTTAATGTTAAGACTGAAAATATAAGTTTTCTTGATTATATAATAAGCAGAATACAATATTGGCTTAAAAAATTTCCAAGTTCTATAATCGTTATAGGTGGGGATTTTAATATTTCAATCGATAGTGCTCTTGATAAATGGCCTCCAGGTCGCCCCTCTTTACTTAACTCTAAAATTAAACAATTCATGGAGAGATTGGATGTATTTGATGTATGGAGATCCAAATTCCCTAATACAAAAGCGTTTACCTGGAGTAATAAAGCTGCTTCTCAATTTTCTCGCTTAGACTTTTGGCTGATTTCTAATTCTTTAAATTCTCAAAATACTACAGTTGATATTCTTCCCACACCCCTAACAGATCATAAAGCTATCTATATAAAAATAATAATTTCAATAAATCCCTTAAATACCATCAGAATTTCATATTGGAAATTAAATAGCTCTCATTTATGTCATAATACAGTTAAGTTAAAAATAATTTTTTTAATTAGATATTATTGGAAAAAAAGCATTAAGTGAACACTCTTTTATTAACAATTGGGAATTACTTAAATTTGATATTGGAAAGTTTATGAGACGCTACGGAAGTATGCTAACCAAATATAAGAAAGCTGAGGAAGAAGCAGTAGTAAGTCAGATTACTTTGCTCACTCAGCGTTCCCCTGAAAATATTTCAGTTGAGGAAACTGCTTTACTTAATCAATTACAAAATCAGCTTGACGACATTTACAAAAATAAAGCTGAAGGTGCTTTTGTGCGATCTAGAAGGAGGTGGATGGAGCAGGGCGAACAAAACTCTGCATACTTCTTTAGGTTAGAGAAATCGAATGCCATTTATAATAGCATGACTAAACTTATGATTGATGGTAACATTGTGGATGACCCTAAGGCTATATCTTCTTATTGTCATAATTTTTATAAATTGTTATATACCTCTCAATCAGATGATAATTATACATCCTCTTTTTTAGATTCGGTAACTGACCTGAAAATTATAGAGGAAAGTGATAAAATTTGCTGTGATAAACCTATTTCTATAAAAGAAGTAATTGATTCCATAAACCTTTTAAAAGTTAATAAATCACCAGGAAATGACGGTATTACTAATGAGTTTTACAAGAATTTCTCTATTTCTTTAGCTCCTTTCCTGGTTGAAGTTTATGCAGAGAGTTTTTTGTGAAGCGCTCTCCCGCCTACTTTAACACAAGGTTTAATTAACCTAATTCCAAAGGCCAAAAAGGATCCACTACATATTGAGAACTGGCGTCCAATTTGTTTACTTAATACTGGTTACAAAATTTTAGCTCAAATTTTTGCCCAAAGATTACAAAAGGTAATGAGTTATTTAATTGATGAATCACAGTCTGTTTTTTTAAAAAGCAGATTAATCTCTAATAATATAAGATTAATTTTAGACATAATTGATTATTCTGATTTTATTTCTGATGAAAGTTTTATATTATTTCTAGACTTTTAAAAAGCATTTGATACGGTAGAGCACAATTTTATTTTTCGTTGTATTAAAAAATTTGGTTTTGGTGATTTTTTTTTATAATGCTATCACGACACTTTATGCTAACAGTAATTGCTCCTTGAAATTTTGTTTTGGTACTTCAAGTCGTTTTAGCCTTCAGAGGGGTATCAGACAAGGATGTCCCATTTCACCCTATCTTTTTCTTTTGGCCACTCAAGTACTTTCTCAATATATTAAAACAAGTGCCTTAAAAGGAATTATCATTGCAGAAAGGGAATTAAAAATCAGCCAATTAGCAGACGATACTGCTCTCTTTTTAAGAGACGCATCTTGTGTCCCCTTTGCTATTAATACAATTCAATCCTTCTCCAAAGCTTCTGGTCTTTTTTTAAATTTATCTAAATGTGAATTACTTTCAGTAAAAGAATCTAGTCTTTCTACAATTAATAATATCCCAGTTAAAGATAATATAGTTTACTTGGGTATCTCTATTTGTAAAAATGAAAAAGTTAGATGCTCTATTAATTTTGACCCTATTATTGAGAAAACTCGTAGAAAATTAAACTTATGGCTCCAGAGGGATTTATCTCTGAGGGGAAAAATTCTTCTTACTAAAGGGGAAGGTATCTCCAGACTTTCATATGCTGCTCAATCTCTCCATGTTGACAAATCCATTTTAAATCATACTGATAAAATATTATTTAATTTTATTTGGAAAAATGGTATCCATTATATAAAAAAAATCGGTAATTATGAATAGCTTTGAGAATGGGGCTCTTAATATGCTGGATTTTTGTACATTTAATAATACTATCAAAATTAAATGGGGAAAAAATTTTCTCAAAAATCCAACCTCAATCTGGAATTTTATTCCAAATTACATATTTTCTAAATTTGGAGGGCTTAATTTCTTATTACTCTGTAACTATAAGGTTGAGAAAATACCAGCTAAATTATCTCAATTTCATAAACAATTTCTTCTTGCCTGGTCACTATTATACAAGCACAACTTTTCTCCTCACAAATATTTTTTTTGGAACAACCAAAATATTGTATATAAAAACAAATCTCTTTTCTTTCAGCGCTGGTTTGAAGCAAATATTCTGCTTGTTAGTCAATTATTTAACTCAAATGGCCATTTATTAAATTATAACGAATTTCTTAATCGATTCAATATTCCCATCCCCCTAAAGAATTTGCTGTGGTATTTCATGCTATATCTTCTGGTGTTATTAGATTATTCCAAGGCATCCCCTATCCTTCTGTTTTACCTCTTTTAGACCCTTCTACTACAATGATTGGAAAATATTGTTTCTCTGCAACTTCTTCAAACAAAACAATACGTTTTTTATTTCTTAATGGAACTGTATCAGTTCCAAATGTAACTTTTTATTGGAATTCTTTTGTTTCGGATATTGATTGGAGAAAAATATGGCTCATTCCAAATAACTACTTAATTACAAATAAGATAAAAGAAGTTTCATTCCGAATTATTCACCGTACATACCCAGTCAATACTCTTTTAGTACGATATAAAAAAGATCTTAATATTAATTGTTCATTTTGTGGGCAGCACCCTGAGTCCCTGGTTCACTTATTTTGGCAATGCAATTACTCTAGGTTGCTTTGGAAAGACTTCTCACTTTTTATAATTGAGAATGTTGATGAGAAATTTTCCTTGCTGTGGGAGAATGTTTTATTTGGTTTTGTTGATTATGGAACGGGGGCTTTACATAAAAAGAAAACATATTTTTTTAATCTTCTTGTCTTATTAACAAAATTTTATATCCATAAATGTAAATTTTCAAACCAAAAACCTTTTTTTTATATTTTGCTTACTGAAATGCAGTATTACTTTGAAACAGTGTCTAACTCTTTTACAAAAAAGGCTTTAAAAACAACTGAAATTTGTAAATTATATAATCTTTTTCTTTAACTTGTAATGTATTTACCCCTCCTGTTTTTTTTTGTCTGTTTGTTTATTTTTTTGTTATCTGTTGTTGTTTCTTTTTCCAAAATTGTTGCTCTTTTTGTCTCTTCGATTTCCTGTTAACATACTGTGATTATATATTCTCATTTTTGTATATTAATAAAAATAAATAAATAAAAAAAAACTGGCAAATCCAAGTCTGCATCCAGGTAGGCTATTATTGCCTCAGACTATCAACAGATTAAGCAAACATTATTAAAAAAAAAAAAAAAAAAAGTTAAATGACAGTTCATATTTTGACTTTGCAACATATTTGTTCCGTTAACATTAACTTGAAGCTTGAATAAACAAACAATAACTGATACTTGGTGTAAATTTAAAAATTTTAAGTTAACGTTGCATAGCCTTATGGTAAAACATTTCAACAGTCTACTATAGTAGCCTACGTTTGGATCATTTTAATGTAAATTACTCCCATCTTATTATTAATTTGATTTACTTTATTTTTATGACATTTTAACACCTTCAACATTTAGATTGTATTAGACTAGAAAGTCTAGAAAATATATCCATGACTATAGACCTTTTCAATTAGAGACAGACACCCTGCTGAAAATAAACAGCTTAAAGCAGCCTAAACTGGTTGGCTGGTTTTAGCTGGTCAACTAGACTGGTTTTAGAGGGGTTTTGGCCATTCCAAGCTGGTTTCCAGTCATTTATAGTCTGTTCATAGCTTGGCCAGGCTGGCAAATGAACAGCTAAAACCAGCTATGCTTAGCTTTAACCTGTTTTAGTTTTAGACCAGGCTGGAAAATGAAACTTAAGGCTTTTAATTTTGATTTTAAAAAATTGATGTGATTATAAAAATAAATAATGTGCATAATGTCTTTTTAAAAATGATATTCTAGATTTATTATAAAGTATTAAGAAGATTTTGCTAAAAAAAAAAAAAAAAAAACAAGATATAAACTTCCCTTATTATTAAGCAAACCAGTGCAATTATTTGAGAAACCAATTAAGTTAATAAAATTGAGGAAAGATGGCTTCACGTTTATTCTAAGAAAATTCACTCAATTATGTGGATTTG